GAGTTAATATCAAGGAGTGTCATCATATCATCCCTCTCTCTTTATTTTTTTTTCCTTTAATTGCCTGGTCTGTCAAGAATCCAAATACCCATTTTTATGGTAAATAAAGGCCTAGGCCCACTTGCAAATACAAACATCAGACTTGAAAGCAAAAGAGATGCTGTCTACATAACAGTGGAAACTCAACCTGTGACATTTTTTGCTTTCAGCAGTGGAATAGAAAAGGCTGTTCAGGAGCAGCATGTGGATTTGGTGTATTCCCATGGTACTTCCTCATGGCAAATTAAAGGGATCACGTACAGCTACACCATTCTTGAATTGTCTAATCTTTTTTTGTGCTTCTGGTGCTGTCTGCCTGTACAATCTCTTGTGACAGCAAGCTTCACAAAATCACTACCTTCTATGTAAAGATGTGCTACTTTTTATCTTTGCTAAGATGAGCTCAATGTAGTTTTGTCGCATTCCTTGTTGTTATAATGTTGTGGGCTTTGGTGAGCTATAGTTCTGCAGTCAGCTTACTTTTCCTTAATGCTTTTTTAAACATTGTTCATATGATCTCTTGGTCTTCTGCTCTTCAATTTCTCTTGTTGTGAGGCAGCTACTGTTCTGTGAATCATTTGTGTTGTCCTTCTCTGTACCTTCTCTTAACCCCATTTCATGAGTTAGAGAGAGCAGAACTGTCTGACACAACAGTGTTATAGAGCAGCAAAATTATATTCTGTCTTGGGTTTGTTGCTTTTCTTAGTGATAGGCAAAATTGCATGGCATTTTTGGCTGTGGTTGAGCTTAGAGCACTTTGAACTGTGACTCACAGATCTCTTTATTCGAAGTTGATGTGAGAATGTTAATGAGCTTTTTCCTTGAAACAGCTTTCAGTTTACAGCATGCCCCTTTTCCCAATTTAGTTCTAATAGCATTTCTTCCGTATTCTTTGGAGGGAAGCCTTGTCAAAGGATTTCTGAAAATCCAGGTCTACAGGATTCTAATTTATCTATTTGCTTTCCTCTACACCTCCTGAACACATGGTAGGTAGCAGGGCAGTATTTTCCTTCACAAAAGCTCTGTTGACTTTTTCTGATTGGATACGTATGGGCTCAGCAATATTCTTTTGTGTGAACTCTACTGTCCTGCCAGGAGTGCATGTTAGTATCAGTGTTCCTTTTGGGACCTTCAAGGCTCCCAGGTCAATGCCAGCTGGCCCACATGACTCAGTGATTTGTCTGGTCTAGTGCTCCCCATATATGCCCTCCATGTCCATGCAGCTGTTCTGATGTGGAGAACACGCTGTGTGAGATACCACCTCATCATCTTCATTGGTAAAGACAGATGCTAAGGATTTGATAAGCTTCTTTCCTGTGGCCTTCTTATCCTTGAGTACCCTTTTCACACTTCTGTTGGAAAATGATCCTGCCAACCTGCTAGCTGTGTTTCATCTTTCAGAGTTTTATGAACATTTTGGTCTCAGCATGAGCATCTGTTGCTAGGTTATCTTAAAATTCTTCTTCATGGTCCTAATTTCCTGTTTGCATCTGGCTGCCCTGTTTTATGGCCTTTCCTGTTCTCATTTTCATCCTCTTCACTTTCAGAAATTTCCTCATGTTCTCTTATTCAGTCTCCTGCACATTTTGTGCAGCATGTCCACTTATTTACATGAAAAGAAGTAGAGGGTAGACTTTAATCATTTAGTGGTTTAGTTTGTAGTTGCCAATAATCCACAATTGTAGTCCACAACTAGTTTATTATTTTCTAAATTCAGAATATTTTCTCCTTTCTTTCTGTCTTTCGGGCAGCAGCAGAAGTAAAAAAATAACCTTTGCAGAAGTGTGGGGCTTTACAATATGAGTGAATTAGAAGTAAGGCAATGTGGTTGGTTTTCTTTTAAATAAAAATTGTTGGTTTGACTTTTCAGGTGCTCTATACTGGACATTTTAAAATCTGCTGATACAAAAGAGGATGTTTCTCATTTTTAGTGATCCGAATACCCACAAATCCAATTTTTTTTTGTCATTGAGATTTTGGAGTTGCAGAGTTGCATTTGACATTCTTGGATAATTGACCACATATGTACTCCTTAATTTTATGAAAAATGGCTGTGATTTTTATAATTAGATTTCTTTTGGAAGATATATCCCAGTGGAACGCTGTGATGTTGTGATTGTAATAGTGGCAATAATTTTCTTTACTGATGGCTAAAATAGTAAAGATTATTAAGGATTCTATTCTGTTCTGTTCTAATTATAGTCCTATACTTCTGGAAGGACATTGTATTACTAGATGACATAAGATGCAGGATGAGAAAGTTCAGAGGTTTTGGCAAGCTGATGGGAGGTAGTTCTGTAAAAGTGAAAAGTAGTGTGGGATTGTGGGATCTGTACTTCTTGTTTCTCCTAATTTACAGTAGGAAAGAAGTTAATGTAATTGGAGTGATTATTGCTTATGCTTCAGATTTAATGTCCAGCTGGGATTAATTATAAAAAGGCTTCTCAGAACAGTGAGATCTTGCAGCACTGTCTTAATTGCCATGCGGAGAAGAAAAAGAACTACTTTCTTAAGGTGTAGTTATGGCCTGATCATTGCTTTTGAAAAACTTAACATGACCTGTGCCTAGGAAATAATGAGGACCCAAATTCAACAACCTGGGAGGTCCCTTCCATTCTCAAATTACTGGAACGGCCCTTACTTGGTATAGACTCAGGAAAGTATTATTAGCAGATTACTTAATGACTCATTGGCAGATGGAATTTTAAACATTTTAGCGTCTAAATAAAGTTAATTAAGGATATTGGGCTAAAACTTTGTGCTCAGTTTTGATGCCTGCAGCCATGGATTTTTCTATTTAAGATGGTCAAACCTCAACCCAGTATAGTTATTTGTGGTAAAATGTAAATTTCATATGTGTGCTTAATTAAGTACTTCTACTTCTTGAGTAAATGATTACCAGACTTTTTTTTTTTAATTTTGGTGCAAAAATAAATTCTGTAGAGTCTGCGAGGTTATTTACTGCCAGCTTTAGGATGCTAGTTTCAAATGTCTGACTTGCAAAATAGATTTAATTTTGAAGGTATTGGTTTGTTATTAGGGATATTGGTGTTTAAGGAGTAAGTAGAAATAGGAGGCAATGGTTTAGTATGCATAAAAATGACAAGAAAGAGTTAACTAATTCTTTAGTGAGTAATACATCAAGATTTTGGGAGTGTTATGTTTTTTTAACAGAGTTTAAAATTCCCAAAAGTATTAAGCATAATATATGTTCTGTGTCTCCTACTATACCTAATGCACTTTAGGGAGTGTGGATTTCCTTCCATTTTGGAAAGACTGAATTTCTCTAGTCTTAACATCTTCTGACCCTTGAGAAACACACAAGTCATCTGCTCCCATCCTTGTGATGAGCTTCCAAAATCTCAGAGCACACTATGAATCACAGGTGCTGCATGGCTACAACAGACAGCTTTGAAGAAGTGCTTGTATTTGCTAACTGATTAAATCTATTTATATCATGGAAAACTAGCTTATCTTGGGGTCTGATCAGAAAATTGCAAAGTGTCTTAAAATGGTGTGTGGTGAGCAGACCCTTTCCACTGGGAATTGCTATCCCTTAACTAGAGCAGGAGGGCTGAGACTGAATGCACCGGTCCAGGCTGTTGGCGTGTGAAGCAAACTGTGACAAATGTAAACTTTAAGCTACAGTATTTGATTAGAGAGGGTTGCTTTTTTGAGGGCATTAATTCAATTGCTTTGTGATTGTTGGACCACATTTTTGGTTTGTGACGTTAGGGCTATCTAAATGAAGGGTGGGATCTCTGTACATAACGGCAATGTTTATCATTTTGAGGAAATGGTAGGAACAGTAAAGTGCTTTCTGCTTTTTCTGTGTTTTTATTACTTGCATTAAAGTTCAAGAGAATTTCACATCTGAGAATAGAAGACGTTTATAAACTTTTGGTCAGGTCTTGGTTAAGTTTCCAGAAGCTCTAGAATAACTTCAAATTATGTTTGTCCCACATTATCTGGAAATTGTATTATAAGATTCTTACCATGTTATTACGTTACCAATGGGAAATTTTCTGGAAATAGTAATTTTTCAATAAAATATCCAAACATACTGGCTTTTTTTCCTACATCTTGTGTGGTTCACCACTGAAGAAAATTTGAAAATTGTGCAATTATTATTCTGTGTTTGTGTAGTTTTGTTTGATTAAGTGGAGAATTTCTCTAATCGGATGAATCCCATACACACTGGTGCAAACAGCACACACCTTTAAAACACACTAATTGGCCTCTTACTCATTTCAAAAAATGGGATTTATATAGACAGGATTCAGTATGCAGTGGAAAGGTTTGGATCAGTGAGTCATTTTTTGCCTAAAAAGATTTTAATGGTAAAAATATCCCTATCTGTTGCTGTTCTCACACTTTCCAGATAATAATTATCTCTAATGGTTAGCTGATTTCATGCTGAAGGCTTCAGTTCTGCAACACACTCAAAGTCTTGCATGACTTGCATCAAACTGGATTATTCCCTCTATTTTAAAGTCATTCTTGTGCTTGAGTCAGACACATTTAAGAACTCTGTTGAATTAGTATCTGTGTGAAAATTGTTTTTCTCCTCAACATAATCAGTTTTGGAACTGGAAATTGCCTTCTGTTGATGGTTTTAGTATTTTTTCCCCATGTTGTGCCACCATCAATTGTTTCTCAGTTTAATATCTGTGGCTTTGCAGCTATCCAGACAATTGAATTATTTTGTGTGTATCTTCAGAATAATTATATGCCTCTTGACTGCCTTTGCAGTTTACATGTAAAATTAGCATTTTGTCAACTTTGTCGTTTTTTAAAAAATAGCAATGCAAAATCTGGTGGTCCGAAGAATTAGTCTCTATTTAATGTGAATAAATAAAGTTTAAATTCACAGTTATATTGAGGTGTAATATAAATTTAAAAAATCATAACTTTATATGTGCAGCTGTTTCTACATGTTTGTATATTTTAATATTTTTCAGACAAGTATAAAAGAAGGATTACTACTGAAGCAAACCAGCTCTTTTCAGAGGTGGAAAAAGCGCTATTTCAAACTTCGAGGTCGTACCCTTTACTACGCTAAGGATTCAAAGGTAATTCTATGCTACTAGTGTCTAATGCCATTTACCTGTGACTTCAGTTTTGTTTAAGTTTACAAGTTTAATACATTTAATCAGTTTAATAATAATAATAACATTAATTTAATTATTAGTTCACAGTTGTTTTATGTAAAAACTGCTGTATATAGGATATAATGGGTTAAATTAGCTTTAAGGAAGATTGGTAATTTCTCCTGATTTTTTTCGTATGAAGTTTATCACAGTTATTTTAACCTTTTTGTCTATTCAGACAAATAATAAAGTCATTATAAGGAGTTGTGGGTTTTTTTGTGGCTCTCAGACAGTCAAAAAAAGTAATAACTGGATAATGCTTAAAAGTTATTGCCAAGGCTGCATTCTATTAAAACTCTTCTGCTCTGATACCCATAGAAATAGTTATGTGAAATCAAGATAGGCTGATTTTCTGCCAAAACTGATATATAAGGGAAAAAGCTGTTTCCCATCTATTGAATTTTTTTGGTGGGAGAATTGGGGGTGGGCAGAGGGGAATACTTATCTTATCTTTGAAAATCATTTCCTTCCTCCCTCCCAAGACTGGGGCCAAGAGCATTTTGGCTGACTCAGATTGTGCTGTTTCATAGCTGTGGCTGTTACTCTCCTTTACCCTGTGGGGTTGCAGCATCTCATAGGAGCTGTAGGTGAGGTGCTTCAGGTCTTCATCATCTTCTATACCCTTGTTTTCTCAACAAAACTCTAAGTAAAGGCACAGAGATGTCTCCTTGTGGGACTGTAGGACTGCAGCTGCTCGGTGCACTGTTGTGTGGCTATAATGAATGAAGCAAGGAAAGCACCATTGCTTCAGGGAGCCCAGCACTGCAGGAGCTCTGTTGTCAAACCTTTCAGCAATTGGTGAGACCACGAGCAGTTTATATAAAAGATAAGCATGGCAGTTAAGAGCTCTGAGAAGGGCAACCTCAAATCACAGTAGGATGCTTAGATGTTTTGAAAATGTGAGCCTACCATGTTAGATGAGGAATGTGGAATATTTTGGGTCTCTGTTGGTCTCACTCCAACAGTTCTGTGCCCTTGCTATCTTGGGAACCATGGAACTGTTGTAGCATGTCCAGAGGAGAGACCCAAAGATGAGCAGGGGGCTGGAGCACCTCTCTTATGAAGACAGACTAACAGATCTGGGACCTTGTAGCAGCCTTCTAGTACCTAGAAGGGGTAAAATGGAGCTGGAGGGGGGCTTTTTACAAGGGCACGTGGTCACAGGACAAGGGGGAATGACTTTAAACTGAAAGAGGAACCATAGTATCCATATCTGGATATTAGGCAGAAAGATGCTCTTTACTGTAGGGGTGGTGAGGCATTGGCACTGGCTGCTCCGAGAAGCTGTGGATGCCCTGTCCCTGGAAATGTTCAAGGCCAGGTTGGATGGGGGCTTTGAGCTACGTGGACCATGGCAGGGGGTTTGGAGGTAGATGATCTTTAAGGTCCCTTCCAACTAAAACCATTCTGTGATTCTATGATAAAGATGAGAAAAGAAGATGTTACGAGTAGGCAATTGTGCTGATGCTCAAAGGCATGCTGAATCCAGACATGCTGAAACTCCCCCAGTATTGATTCTCCTCCCTGTGGCATGGAAGAAGAAAAGCATGTTAGGGCTAAAAACCAGGCATTTTTGTTGGACTGCTCTTCTGTGTTACAAAACCCATCAGGAGCATAACAAAACCTAATTGATCCTTTTCCAGAGGCTGTAGTGTTTAGAGTAGTTATAAATTTCTCATGTTTGAACATCAGACAAAGGAGTGGAGGGGATCAGTTCAGCCCTTTGAGATGCATCTTCTCATATGGATACTATATCATAGCTTTCTATGTGACTTTAGGGTTCCATTCTAAAATTAAATAATTAATTTACATTTTACTGTGTGTGAATCTCTTTCCTCTGACACTGCATTTATGCTGCACAGTAGACACTCTAAAGCTTCATCTTGTAAGAAGACCCCCTTCTTTTAAAAGAGATTTTAAAGCAATATGATTATTGAGCCCTTTTTTTATCCTCTCATGTACCATTTAGAATAGCAAGTGGGACTTGTGTTTAGGGCCAGTTATGAAATTTTATCACATTGTCAGTGTGTTCTATTTTTTTCACTACTTTTACTTTCTATTTTTATTTTCTAATTGGAATAGATGCAATGAAATTAAAGCACATTTTGTAATCATAGCTGAAAGTGGACCCAGACTTAATTTAATGCTTCTATGTTCTTTTCCCTTCACAGTCTCTAATATTTGATGAAGTTGACCTGTCAGATGCCAGTGTAGCTGAATCAAGCACAAAAAATGTCAACAACAGCTTCACGGTATGGAACAATTTTAGCACTGTTTTTGAAGGCTGTGGATAGACTGTTACTAAGAAAATCAAGGATCTTCTCAGTTGCTTATTTTCCTCTGTTTGGAAATAAAATGTATTTTTTTGGTAATGGTTTAATGTATGAGAACAATACCATGTCAGCTATACAGCATTTTATTTCAGTGAGCAGAAATGTGATATGACAGTTGTTTCAAAAGATGATGATAGAAGGCCTTAAAAACACAAGATTCAGTACTTAGTGCTTATTGTGGGTTTGTGCTATAGTTTCTCTTTGAGGTGACATGCTGAATTAAATAAAATGTAATTGTGTTTTTGTTTTAATTTTCTTAACATTTTTGGTTTCTTCCTATATTGAAATGTGCTTTACTTTTTTCACTGCCAATCATACCCATATATGTTTTTAAGTCACATGGAAAAGCTGTCCCTACAGTTGTACCTTGATTCTGATGCTGCTGTAAGAACATAGAGTACTGTTCTATATAATAATACTGAACTATTTCTCTAAGTTCACAGGTGTTTTTTACATAAATGATCCTTCATTTATTGTTCAGCTGTCTGTTAGAACTAAGTGATAATGTCTGACACAGTTCCTCTGCTGTTTCTTAGGCTCTGGAAAAAAATATCTTGAACATGAGCTAGTTATGAGGAATACCATTGGTGAAGTTGTCCTTTCGAAGGATATCTTGAGATGTTCCACTGACTGTAATGGTTTCTTTTTCCTTAACTGCATGTCTCTATTAAAAGGTTAATTTTTGATTTTCCTGACGTTTTTAATTCCCCAGGTGACCCATATTAGTTCATATTACCAGTCTTGGTTTTTCTTCTCCAAAGCAGTCAAATGCAAGCCTCATGAGAGGTTCATATTTTCTCCTTGCTGTGGTACCTCCCAGGCAGCTGCTGAAGCAGTCAGAGCACTTCAAAGATGTGCTCGTGTTGGTATTTACAGCCCAGTGTGTTGTGTCAGTCTAAGCTGCTTTACTGACTAAGAATGCAATTAAAAAGACTACTTTGACAGAAGGTCTCAGGTGAGGTGGTGGCTGTGTAAGGTACTAGACTATCTTTTGGAAAGGTTCTTTCTGTTGCCTAAAATCTGCTTCTGCAGAAAAGTAGGATGCTTGGGGTTTTTATTTTTTCTTTTTAATTTTCTTTTTTTTCTCCCCATTGTTCAGTACTTGGAGTTTTGGTATCCTTTGTAATCCTTTAGGCCCATTCAGCATCTCATTCTTCACCAAAAGTGTGTTTTGCTTCTAGTATCAAGGCTTCCAGGGAAGACAGTAGTGAAAAAAGCAATCTCTGGCTACAGCTTTAACAGCTTCAGAGATACTGTTTATTTTCATGTCCTAGGTACTTTAGGGCAAACAGTGTTTTCTCTAAAGGAGTCCTTAAATTAATTTTGAAAAATTATTTGGATGTAAAGCTCTCCTGGATTGAAGAGTCGTCTGATTTGACTGTGAAGTATGGTAATAGTCGTCATCTTGCTTAATCTTTTGGCTTCTTTCTTTGTGTTTGCCTAACCCGGTCTCCCAGCAACACAGCTCTGTGAAGTGAGATATCTCTGACCTCGTCTGCACTGGGTTGGACTCAGGGGCTGGGAGTGGAGTGGGTGGTTAGCTCTACAGCAATACTCCTTATAAATAAAAAGAAACTTTTCTTTTTGCCTTTTTATCTTCTTCCATCTTAAAAAGGTAACTCTGCCTTTCTTAAAATTATGGGTCTTTTTATTTATGTTATAAGTGATCTGTTAGCATTCTCTTTATTAAAAAAAGCAAAAATTAAAGCCTTAACTTTAGCCTTCTCTAGTTAATGTACTCCCCTTTTTTCTTTGTCCCAGTAGATAATATTTTTAACACGAACTGATAGATGGAATACACACCAAAGGATTAATTTTCTAGGAAAACACACCTTTACAAATTTATATTAAAAATATATTTTAATTTTTTGTTTAAAAATCATTTTGTCATTTCACTTAGATCCCACCCTCTCCCCTCAATTTCCCACTCCCAGCTTGTAGAAATTACTGTTTTGCCTTCTTTTGCCCTTTTTAGTTTGTCTGTTTGAAGGCAGAGGTGTGTGTCAAGTTTTTCCATGCTTTTATTTTGGATAAAACTCAAGTCCTAAAATTAGTCATAACACACAGATTTAAGGTTGAGTTTATTTGTGATGCACAAGCTTGCAGAATATTTTATGTAACTAAATACCACTGTTTGTTCACCAGAATTGCATTTGCTATCTCTCTGCAAACAAGTTGAGGTTAAAGGAAAATTTGAGGTACATAATATCTGTTAATTAAAATACAGAGCTGATAAACTTTAATCAGCTCATTTGTTTCATTTTTTTCCTTACTGCTGATGATACTACCTTTCAGTGAACGATCAACTGACTTTTAGCAATTAGTTTCTGGTGTACAACCTTGCCTTTTAAGAGTTTATAGTTGTTTTGTAGTTCTGAGCATCCTTACCTAGAGGTTAATGACCTAGAAGGAAAGGTGTCCCTTGACTTCAGAGCCTTTACATAAGACACTCAAGGCTGGATTCTTCCTACTGCCTTATTAGGTACCAGTGTCCCAAGTCTAAGGGAAGAGGGCAAAGAGGTTCCAGCCGGTGAGAGATTTCATCACCCTCTCCATCAGCCACATCAGGAATGCAGGGGGGATTTGCTCAGCCCATGGCCAGTTCAATGGCGTGGGTGAGTGCTGAGTCCTCACACTGATATTGGGCACTCTGTTTTCGCCCAGAACTTTGCTTCTGCCTTGGGGCCTGGTTTATGTTGGCTCAGCACAGCCAGAGGAGTGTAGCTGCTCAGCATGTTACCCTTTTGGGGAGGCTCCTGGGATGAATCAGTCTCCCACCCTCGTTACAAAGAAGCAGATGGGGCAGTGACCAATTCTGCTGAGTGTTGTAATTCCTTGTGCATTTTGGTTTGCAGGGATGCAAGTAGGCTTGTTGGTATCTTGAGTGCATTTAGACAAACCCTCTTTATTGTTCTCAAAACAAGATCCTAGACCAAATGGGCCTGAAGAGTGTTCTCTGGTGTGCAAGCATGAGCTTTCAGAGCAGTGGTGGTGTGCTTTCATTCTAACAGGTATAAGGGAAGGGATTTTAAAATACCAAAAGAATTCTTGAACAGGCATATTCAGACAATGACGTTCCTCAAGGCAACAAAGGTGATTATGGATTGTGATTTAAAACGAAATTATCTTTGGTGAAATTTGGGCTTAAGTTTCTCCCTCTGCCTTGCTTTTGATGCTGAAGAACGGATGCACATTGCTGAGGAAAAAAATCTGTAGATGTTAAGCATGCTGCCCCTCAGTAGTTGAGCCACATGGTTATATAAAATGCTCTGGGCTACTATAAATCTGGGTTAGAGTCTCATGTTAAATGCGCATGCGTCATGTGGCAGCACCTGTATTTTAATCTATCCAAACTTTTGTTTGAAACTCTTAATTTAGTTATGGGTTTTTTGACAGTAAATGTGATGGAAAATAATAATTCGATAAAATACTGGTTTTGAGGCACTACTTTCTATAGGTGGCTTTATCTAATTGCATCTAAGAGCAACAGAGGAAATAATTTCTCTGTCATTCTAGAAGGCCCTCTTCAGGAATATGAGAGTTGACAAACTATGTGATACTCAGGATGGGGATTCAGCTTGTCCTAACTTCTGGGTGGGACTTGATGATGGGTTTATAGGCCCCTAAATTTAGGTATCTAAAATAAAATTAATAGGTCTTCAAAGCAGAGTTCTGTAATTGCTAAGTTCAGTTTAGACTCCAATGACTTATTAGCTGATTCTCCCTTAGCTACAATGGGAGCTTTGTCATCCAGGGCACCTAAAATGTAGGCCCTTGCTTTCAGCTTTCTGAATCAGGTGCTGAATCAAGTGCTTTTTGTTAATATTCATCTTGTGAAAGTTGTCATCTTTAGGGGGAGGGAGCTGCAGTAAGCAGATCTACTATCCTGGAAAGCCTACTATGATTTTTAGTAATTAGAGACTGGCTGGAAAGGGGACTTTGTGTTCCAGCTAATAACGCTGATTACTAGGATTCTGGATATGCTTGCAGAAATGTCTAACATAGTACATTTTTGCTGATGTGTTGGTTTTAGCAATGCTTTAGACCTTGTAGACCATAAGAGTCCTGATTATTTATTCTGTGAAAAAAATACTTCCTTGGAGAACTTTTAAAGTGCTGGGCTTTAATAAAGTTTTCTCACCTGGCGTTATGATGCAAAGGCAGCAGAAACTTATAAAGTATTTCAGTTTTATATTTTATATTTTTATTACCTCCATTTGATTTAACTATTTTCCAAGGTAAATAATATTTGTCAACTGTCTTCTATACTCTTACCTATTCTTGCTGTTCTCCTGATGGTTACTTTGCAGCATCATCTCGTAAATGACATTACATGCCTGACACTCAAGGAAGCCCAAGTCACAGACATCTGGGATTATTTTATAAATTAATGCTCAGTTACATTCCTTATGGATCCCAAGATGTGTCTGTTTTCTGCAGTGGCATAGTGTGAATTTTTGTGTCCCCTATTTTGGTACTAAGATCCTTCTTCTATTAATTTGGAGTTGTCTGTAACTCATAAATATTTAATCTCTACTTCTGTGGTATGTATTTCTTTGTTTTTACTAACGTTGAAATTTTTCAAGTCACTGTACTCTCTACTTAATACATTGCTTGGCTCACTTTGAAGTGCCTTCGAGATCAAGAGGGGGAACTAAGTAATCAAAATTTTGTGCTGTCTGCAAGTATTCCTTTATTGCTACTCTACACTTCTCTTCCAGTTTAAGAATCATGCCACAAAATTGTGTTGGAGAATAATAAGCTGCTTATTTTCTATTAATCTTTTTTTCATATTAAAAATTCTTTTTGTTCCTTCTTACTTTTTTGCATCCCTTAGCTTTTCATCTCATTGCATGATGGTCTTTTCAGTTTCACAATTGGTCTTTTCAGTTCAATGACTGAATTAAACATGATTATGG